TTTTTTTTTTTTTTTTTTTTTTTTTTTTTTTTTTTTTTTTTTTTTTTTTTTTTTTTTTTTTTTTTTTTTTTTTTTTTTTTTTTTTTTTAAATTTTCCAATTTTACCTGTATTACCAGACCGTTGGGTTTCCCTGCGGTGTCCAAATTGTGATACATTGCCTACTGCTTGCTTGAAGATAAGTGTATTTGGCAATAATATATGAAGATTCTAGGCGTCTAAAACCAGTAAGAATTTTACGCATGTGTACAACACACCCTTAAACTCTTGCTAGAGAAAATCTTTAAAAAAAAAAAAAAACAAACTGGTGAATTTATAGTTAGTAGTGACTTGCTTTGACATCTCTCACAGCTGCAGGTTTTTTTAAAAATGCTGAAAATTTGCCTTTATTATAATGTAAATTGTGATTATTTTTTTGTTCTATATGTGGTTTTCTATAGTTTTTTGATTTTTTTCAGCTTAAGATACAGAAGTCTTGTGTAATATGGGTATAATTTTTAATTGTTTGCATTATTTTCAAAGTTCAAATTATCACTTTGAGATTACTATAAATACACTTAAAATTATCTATTTTAAATTAAGAAAATATTAGAGATATTTTCATGGGTTCAATGACCTTTCATTTTATAAGCAATGGGCATGGTACAGAGTGGCTGTCATGTAAGGTACTTGAAGATTCTTAGTTTAATTCTATTTTTGCAATAACCTTGACTTTTTTTCTGACTTCTTTGAGTTGTGCATGTAATGAGTCCAGAAAATACTGAAAATGGGGAAGAGTAAAGTATTTATCTAAAATAAAAGCTATTGGGGAGGGGAAACAATGAATGTATCCATCTGTACATGATTTACATGCTGTGGATGCCTTGTAAACATTTTCCTATTTGTTTAAACTGTGTTTCAGCGAGGATGTAATTGCCCTTGTGTGTAGTTTTAAGCTAATGACAGTCATCAACTGGTTTTGTGTGAAATGAAATTCATGGTATTTTTCTGTAACTTTATCCCCATGGTGAGTCTGTAAAAACCACACGCTCTTTCATACTGGTGCCGAAGGCCAGCTTTCCCAGTCATTTTGATTCACTGTGTATCTGACTTTTTTTTTTTTTTTTTTTTTTTTTTTTTTTTTTTTTTTTTTTTTTTTTTTTTTTTTTTTTTTTTTTTTTTTTTTTTTTTTTTTTTTTTTTTTTTTTTTTTTTTTGGTCTAGAGAGGATTATTGCCACAATATATTTTATTTATTCATTAGATTTTAGCCTTGTAAGTTAAAGTGTTTTAAATGATGATGTTAACAGGTATTTGTCCCTTTACTGGTTTTTTTGGGGTTGTTAAAAGATAGGGAATGAAGAATGCAAAATGGTTTATTGTTCAGACTGTCCGCTCTGGTCCAACCCTGTACTGATAGTACCTTCCCAGTATGATATTGTGATGTTTCATACAATACAGTGAACATAACCAACTTGTTATCTTCAATAAAGGATTGCTAAAACAGTGTGACATGTTGTCTGTTTTCTTGACAAGGACTTACTAAGAAGATGCAAATGTTCTGTATAAAAAGATAACCCAGTAGGATTTATGGGGTGTCTCTTAGTTGATGGATTTGTGTTTGTTCTGTGGCAAATGTGACCCTTTGTTACAGTAAGGCAGAAGTCTCAAAGTGGGCTTTTCTGTGGGAGACAGAAGAGTGCAAACAACATTTAGTGCTCCTGGGGCAAGTCTAGCCCTAGTTCAGCTGGAATGAGTTTCAGTCTGGCTACAGGAGAGCATTCATTTAACGTCTAAAAATTCAGAATAAACTTGACTTTTTAGTCAACTCATTTCTTGAATTTTCCTAAAAGTCTAGGGTTAAACCTATCAAGTTGCACTATTGTGCAGTGTTTTGGATAGAAGTTTCTCTGATATTAATGCTCTTATTTTAGAACTTTTACTAATTTTTTTTTCAACTTATTGAAGTTGTTTATCTGAGTTGAAAAGGAGAACAAAATCATCTATGATATTGATACCTGCAGGGTAACAATCTGCCTGAACAGTGGTACTGTAGAATTGATGTCTTTTTGAACTAGCTGTAGATTTTTGAGTCTCTAAATCTGTAAATTCTTTGAGCTTTTTTGTTGGATCTGCTTGTACAGCATAATTCCTGCATGCTTTCCTCATGAGCTGAAATTTTAATGCTTTGTTCCACTGAAGAGAGTTCTTGTACTCCATAGGCTCCCATCCTATGAACTTTGATTTGTTTGGATTTTTTGCATTACGTGGATAGTCTCCCTGTAAAAGGCAGTAAAAGGGTTGAAGCTTTCATTGTATAGAAGTGAAGCATGGGCACAGGTTTCTCAAAGAGAACGATCACAGCTTGCACAGCTACATCGAAATCATCAAAATGTAAATCCAGACAGCTTCTTTTCCTCTGAATTAACACTACTTGCTATTCACACATCTATGTTTTTAGTTTAATCAAAATACTGTAGATTTCAGCAGCCTGGAAAAAAAAAACTGCTTTTTGACTTCTACTTTTAGTATGAGGAGTCTGAGTGATAAAATTAGTTCATGTATTTGCCGTAACTTGTCCATTTTAACATTTGTTTTAAAGTTATGTTTTCTTAATTATGTTTCCACCTGGTAACTACTGTAAAAATACTCCTGTGGAAAGCTGAGGGTGGTTAGTACCTTTTCCACCTTGGATCTCTCTGATGTGCAAAATTAAACTTGATTTCATTTTTATGAGAAAATGTTCTCTTGTAATGGAGACAAAGTAGTCCATGTCAGTTCTCAAAACTGCTCTCTGATAATCCTGGGCAAAACAAAGATCTGTTTTAACTGCTCCTCATTAACCTGATAAATGGAATAGGGTATAACAAAACAGATGCAAACGTAAGAGTTGTCACTGACCTTCTCAGGAGTCTCCTATGAGGTAGTTAACTACTCTTCACAGTCCCCTCTTAATAGGCTGGATCTTCAGGTGGTTATTTGAGCCTACATGCAAACCTTTGCAAGACTTGGCCAAAATATCTGTACTTTTCATGGCCCTTATGTGAATCTGATGCTGATGTGGCTCTTTGGGTGGAGTAAAAAAAAAAACCAAAAAAACAAACAAAAAACAAGAAACAAACAAAGAAAAAAACTACAGACCAAAACACAAAAGCAAGAAGAGAAGAATAAACCCACAAAACCAAACAAACTGTACACTTGAAATTGTTGTCAGTTCTTTTAACACATCCCAGGTGAGTTATTAGTGGCTAGGTAGGTTCTTGGTAGCATATATAAAGTGGAGTTCAGTCAGCCTCTGAGCTTTTATACACTGTCAGCCATCATCACCAGCTTAAAAAGTAAAGTTAGCAGCAGAAAAACAGTCATTTTTCTTTGACACTTTAAAAGTTCATAATGAAATTTAAAATCAATATGAACTTGAGGTTAGTTACAGCATTGAACCAAACTGTAGTAGGCAATTTTTACCTCTTTAAGCTGAAGCAAAAAGTAATGCTGCCTGACATTAGGTATCAGGTCTGTATTGGCAAAAAGGAAAAAAAAAACCACAGTATTAAGCAGATTTTACTCTATCAGTTAGTTTGGGTTTTGATGAGCTAAAAAGCAAATTTTAGATTTAAGGATTGTCTACTAAAGGCATGTTGCTTTTGATTCTTTATAGTTCTTTTTTAGCTCTAAAATTCAGTCAGAGGAAGGTGGCTGTACCAGTACAGGTAAGCAACTGCATGGGATGCTCCCAGAGACGAAAGCAATTTGAGAAATCCACAAGAAAGTACCCAAAGTCACTGAATTTACACAGCATAGTCCAGGTGAGTATGGGGCTCATGCAGTTGAAGCTCCACCTGTGGTCTCGTACCTGTTTCTCTGTGTGCCAATCTGAACTTGTCCTGCTTGTGTTCATTTGGACTGTTACTGTACAGACCTGACTTAGCTATGTGTGGCTTACACCTCTCATATTCCTACCTGGCTGTTTCTCTGGTGATCGAAAGATGAGCAACCTTAGCAAGACTGGGCCTCCAGTTTGTGTTCAGCTCAGCGCTTGTCATGATCTGTTGTTTCCATCATTCACTCTGTTACACACTGAATCAGCACCGCTGTGCTTGGCTCTGTGTTAGAAAGGTTGTGTTCCCCTAAAAACCCTATTTTAACTTCTTCAGAAATTGTAAAGCTCTCCTTTGCTGTGATACCTGGATTTAAAGGCTGCCGGAGATTATTGAGATCTTCCTTCTTCATTGATGAGAAACTTCCTGCTTCTGCCCTTGGCTGTCCTTATTTGTTTATGTGCAGTTTGACGGGGAATTTCCAACAGAAGTCTTTGCTGTGCTGATACTGCGATTAGTGGCTGTGAATTAGCATCAGCTAATGATTGCATCAGCACTGGCTTTTTAGCAAAGACTGAGAAGGGTTTAGGTCATGGGCATGGCCTAATGAGAGAGAAAAAAAATGGACATTCCCCATCAGCTTGCTTTGACTGATGGGCAATGTCCAAACCAGTTATCCTTCCCAGTAAAGGAAGAAAAACATTGTATAGTAGGAAGATACATT